ACCACGTATTGAATGCTTGTGTCAGACTCTGCACTAAGTCCATCTTTATATTATCTCACTCAATCCACTCAGTTCACTATTGAGTAGTACTATTATATTATACTCCATTTCACAGATGAAGAAAGTTGGGCTTAAAGGTTAAGTCACTTCCCAAGTTCACAGTTAAAAACTGGCAAAATTGGGACCTGACCCAGAAACCATACAATCTTGCCCAAATTTGACCTCAAGGTTACCAGTCTATGACTTGCAAAATATACCTGCCCTTTATTAAGAGTCAAAATTTGCCCGTCTCCTATTCTTTCAGCAAGTTTTCCTCTCTCTCCCCAAATCTCAAAGATTACCAAATTACTCTCAGGGCTATGTATGCGCCCTCAGTGGCAACAAATGTAGTTCAACCAAGAGAAGTGAGTTAAGTGACCTACCTAAACTCTCTACCTACTGAGGGCTTTTCTTGGCAACTTATGTTCACTTTTTATTTGTTCCAAAAAAATCATCCTTTTTCGAAGAGAAGGCCAAAGAAAAAAAGTTAAGCATTCCACTTCTCCTTTGCTTATAATACCCATAGCAGGAACACCAGATATTTGTTGAATGTTGCCTGAATACTTTTGGAATTATACCACCCAGCCCAACCAAGCAAACTTCTTTACTATTCACATTCCACATAATGTTAAACCCTTCCTGGTTGCCTCATTTTTTTACAGTCTTGGTTTTCAATCACCTAGATTTCCTGACACGATTCTTCAAAGCCTGTGCCACCCTCATACGTTCACCTTCTGCTACATGCTCTTCTTTTGTACAGCAGGTCCTAAACATTTCCTTCAACGTCATTTCTTTATAATGTTGATGAGATGCTGTAGGAATTTAACTTGTTTATATCAACTAGCCCATGATAAAATTGGTTTCATTATACTTTCGCACTGAGGACTCATTGCACATGCCTTTTCAGAGTCTGAGTTTAGACTGCTTTCAGAGCAATCACGTTAGTTTCTTCAGGTGCCTCCTCCTGTTTTCCCATTAGGATCCTTTCTCCAAGCTACCTTTTAGCTTTCCAGGCCTTCTTCATCCCAGGCTCATGACATGGAATAATGTCTACGCTCTAAATTGCTGAACATCCCCCTCCTTAAAGACTTGATTATCATGACCTCTAAACTTTCATGGACCTTTTCTCCCCATGGTCCTATTATTTATTTTCTACTTGCCAACCAATTCCTCCCTATTGTAACAGTTAAGTCCAGAGTAGCAGTTTGCATTCTGCTTCCTCAATCTAACAAGTGATGACACAGCTAGTGGAATTTCTTTTAAAGAAATGCAATAGGCAGGTGTCTAGATAAGTGATCCCGCCACCCCAATCCAATGCCATCACTACCATAACTGCTACATTTCCCAGACTCCAGTCTTGCCTCACTCATCAACCCTTCACAAGGCTGCCACAGCAAACTTTCTAAGCCCCAAATCTCATCATGTCACTTAGCTGCTAAAAAATCTCCTTGCTAAACAATACACTAAACTTGTAAGTATAATTTTAAAAAGCATTTTCAATATGCCCTCAACCAGTATTTTCCAATTTATCTTTGGCTAACTCCCCGTCAGCACCTACATAACCCACCCTGGGCACCAGCTGTAGACTACTAACCATTTCCTGAACATACCACACACATTCATGCCTTCAGAACATTTGCCCCTATGTACTCTGCACTGGTCATTACATCTCCAACTTGAACCTCTAGAAAAAATCCTACTCCATCCTTAACTGTCTGGGTTAAGTGGCACTTCCTCTGTAAAATCATCCTCAAATTCTACTGCCAGTCCCAACAACGCACAATTGCTCTTTCAGCTGGATTCCCATAAGGCACTCATTCCTATGGTTATATTATACACAGTTATTTGTTTATGTTTCTCTCCTCCTAGCTCTATGTATTTATCCAGGGCAAAGGTTGTATCTTATTTCAATGTTTTTCAAAAAGAAGGACTTAATCTACCATAAATGAATAAATAAATTTAGTGATTAGATTAGAAGCGATCAGAGGACACTTAGCATAACAAGGATTAGTATAATTTTGAGAAACTTATATGTGTATGTATATATAACGGGTTTTCATAAAAAATGTATTTGTATTGTGAGTTGCAGGAAAAATAAGTTTGAAAAACTCTTATTTAACTTTGTATCTCCAGTGCACATACTGCCTGATACACAGCAAGGGCTCAAAAAGTGTTGCAGGGCCGGCCGAGTGGCACGTTGGTTAAGAACTGGCTTGGGACGCCAGAAGGCCCTGGTTCGGATCCCACATATGAGGGCCTGTGACACTGCCCTCTACAGCTAAGATGCTGAACAATAGCTCGACCTGGAGCTGGGCTGCGGGGGGTTGCCGGCGACGGCATTGGCTGCAGTCCCCTGCTGCAGTGGGTTGCCATGGGCTACCGTGTGTAGCCAGCAGCCAGCGTGAGCGGCCAGCAGCCACCGTGAGCAGCTGTCCAGAAGCCGGCGACTGATCTGCCTCACCCGGGAAGAGCGCAATGATGGTGCCAAGTTGGGCCAGTGAAGCAACGTCCTCCACAACTAGACTGAAAAACAACAACAACAACAACAAAAAAAAAAACAACAGCAACTTTTGTTCCCCTTCCCCGATTCCCCAATAAAAATATTAAAAAAAAAAAGTGTTGCAGAAGTAAAACTCGTACCTTGAGTATCCACAATTTCTTTGCAATCACTAACTTTCCCCCTTTAAAACTCAATCATTTCCACAGAGATTTATATCTTTTGGACCCAGCCTTCTTTTAAATTTTCTAACCTTCCTAAGTTTCACCCTCATGAATCTTCTGTATAATTAAAAAACCACCTGTCCCAAGACTCTGCTTTAGTTTTTAAAAATAAAAGTCAACCCTTTCCTTCCATTGTCTCCCACACCTTCGTAAAATCACTGCAATCTGGCTTCTGCTCAAGTTGCTGGGGGGCCCCAAGCTACCTAAGGACTAAACAGAGCAGCCCTTTCTCAGCTCTCAGCCTCCATTGCTCTACAGTTCACTTCTATGGAAGACACCATACCAACCTGCATATTCTCTTTTCCCTCTATATGGATAAATATGTAGAAAGCACTCAAAAATATGCCTAGCTCATAGTAAGTACTATTGTATATAACTGTTAGTTAACTTTTATCATTTATTCTTCCTCTTATTCCCTAAATATAGGTAACTGCCCAAGATTCTATCCTCAGCGGTTTACTTTTCCGCCCCTCCCACTGTCTTCCTTGGTCTTGTCATCTACTCACAAGGTTTCAATTAGCTCACCTATAGGAGGATTACAATGCTCATAAATCCAAACCTCTCCTGAACCCCAAATCCACACTCGACATACCCAATGCTGTCTTTTACCAATACCCTTAAACGTTTATGAGTAATACCACTACTGGTCCCATCGTTTTTCACTTCACTCTTCACCACCACCACCACCACCACCACCACCACCACCACCACCACCAGCACATGCAATCAATTCTCAAATTCTATCAACTCTACCTCCTCAATGTCTTTTCTTTCTATTTCCTAGCTCAGACCTTCTTTATCACTCACCTACTCTAGCCTTCCGAAATGGTTTCACACCCTCCAAGACCCAACTAAACAATGCTGTCAGATAAATCTTTTTTAAAAACCATAGCGCCATAGCTCTGATTGAGTTACTTGCCAGGTCAAACCCCTTCAATGGATCTGCCCTACCTTCCTTAGAAAGCACAAACTTTTCAGCTGGGCATTTGAGAGCCTCCACAAAATTGAAGGCACCACCCCATCTCTTGGCCTTCTTTTTATTCACAGTACCCACAACGTGGCCAAGCAGGAAAATTCTTTAAGTCTTCCTCACTGACTGACGTGTTAAATCAAACATATTCCTAGTAAGCTCTCCTCCCTGTATCTTCATAGTGAGTCTGTCAAGATTTTACCAATCTTAAATGTCCAATCAAAACTCCAGCTCCTCTACAGGCTTTCCGTTCTTGATTACCTTTCTTCCCCAGTCCCAAAGATATTCATTCAGTCTTCTAAATGTTCTTGTCACATGGTAATGACTCTTAAAGACCTGCCTATGTTCACACATTATGGGTATTTACATAACCATTTAATCTCCCTGCATAACAAAAAGCTCCTTAAAGATAAAGACTATTTCTTAAATATCTTTGTAGCCCTATGGACAGCCAAATAAGCCTTCTGGATATTTTTTATTTTTTTTTAAGAGAAACAGAACCATTAAAGACAGCAACTCATTTAGTAGTTCTGGAAAACTTCAGATATCCCTCGGCTATCATGCTAAACACCTAATGAAAGCCTAGAAGAAAGGACCTAGTTTTTAAACAACTTAGGAAAAGGATAGGGAGGAAATGACTCAAAGAGAGGTTGAGGAATGGCTGCCTCTATAATTCACACCTCAGTGTTTTACACACCATCCCTGGTAGTTCAGAAGCTTAAATAGGAAGTCAAGATAACTGGATTCCAGTGCCAACGATGCCATTTACTTGTTTCGTGACTTCAAGTCACAACTCTCTTAGCTTTTTTTCATCTGTTCAAGAGGGACTTCAACTAGAAGATCTCCAAGATCCCCTCCTTAGGCATTCCGTATTTCTACAAAAAGATTTAACCTGTTCAGGCACCCAAACCCCTGACGAGTCTTCAAAGCTTCACCTCAAGCCTCATTTCCTCAGGTTTCTTCTTCTCCAGGAGCTCTGGTCCTGCCTGCCCTGGGCTCCTTCAGCACCTGTGACCCTTGTCATTTAAAGTAAGTCACAAACTATCCCGGTCGCTCCACAATGATCAGAAAGCAGCCTTGAGAAAGGCAATGCATTCTGCTTTGAGCAGAAGCTGAGCTTCCGCCTCTTGCTGCTACTACATTTCAGGAGCGCCAAGTGATCCACCGCAGACCTAGGTACCTAAGGTTGCAGCCTGAGTCCCCTCCCGCTGGGGTTCCCTATTTTCCAGGACTAAAAGATTCTCTAAGACGCAGCCATAACTCTCCTCACCCAGCAACTCGAGGTTCATCCCTGAGGACTCTGGCCGCCTGGTCTCAGCTCCAGTGACGATACTTTTTCCCCCACCTGCTTCTAAGACTGCGTATAAATACAGAGTCGCCGCAAACAGCCTGCCGCTAGCTCTGGAGACTTTCTGGTTTAGAAGACCCCGCGGCTTCCGCTTTCTTCCCCCGCCTTCCTCGTTCGTTTCAAGTGGGCTGTCCATATATATGCCTAATAAACAAAAAAGAACAAATCATCTCGAAATCACTTGATTATGAAATTGATTAAGGGATAACAATGTTATCCTCACTTAGTGCTTTAAAAAGTGAAAGACTTTGAGGCTATTTTCTCCCAGGACATGTAAGTGAGCTCGAAATTTCAGGCATTTAGTTAGACTACTTGTGTTTGCTATGTTGTGTGTTCATTGGCGTTGTCCCGGCAGGCTGCATCAGAAATCGCAGGAAAGGTTCCGGGCAAATAGTACTGACAGAAAAGCGGGAAAGGTCAGCCCGCAATGCTCAGGTGTGGAGCGGAGCTATTGTCATAAAGGCGCGTCCTCGTATGTAGCTAGTTACCGTGTATCTGTCTGAGTCTTGTGGAAATCACATTTGTAAAGATATGCCACAGAAATGTACCATAGCATTTGTTAATGTTGACCAGGACACTGAAAATGAATTGGAGTGAGAGATTGGCTGAGTTTCCTAGAGCTTAGTCAGACAGGATTGTGATGAGATACGTGAAGTAATTAGAGTAGGCCAGTCAATCATAACTATCTAAGGAGCTAATTCTGTTGGGTCTTCGGAAAAGTCATGACGCATGTTTGCAACAGATGGCACTAGTTCATTTTTGGAAGTACTAGAGTCATTTGCATCTATGTTATTGGTATGTCATTTGACAGCTGACAGTTCTAGCTTCATCCTAAAAAAACTGAGCGATTTGGTTGAGTTTTGGAGATTTTACAACCAGTTAAATATGGAAGACCAAACTGTGCATTTTTGCCATATTTTACTGTTTTACTTCCATAAAGGGAAGAATGCGCGTCAAGCTTGTGAAAAGTCGCATAAAGTTTACGGTGACAATGCTCTACAAAAATGTCAGTGCCAACGATGGTTCATGAAATTCTGTGCTGGTGATTTTGATCTCAATGACTCTCCTTGGTCAGGGAGGCCCACCGAGGTTTATGAAGACAAAATAAAGGCATTGATCGACTCAAACCCATGTTACACGACAAGAGAGATTGCAGAAACATTGAACATCCATCATTCAAGCGCTCACGACCACCTGAAGAAGCTGGGATACATAAGCAAGCTCGATATTTGGGTTCTGCATGAACTCAAAGAAGTTCATTTGACAGCGCGTCTAAACATCTGCAATATGCTCATTAAATGTGAGGAAAATGATCCTTTTTTGAAGGGACTGATAACTGGTGATGAGAAGTTGATTGTTTATAACCATGTGGTGCGCAAGCAGGGAATAAGACAAGATGGCTTTCTAAGATAAGATGGTTTCTATTCAGCACATTCGGGGCAGTTTCTCCAGGCCTAAGGCAGTTTCTGCTCCTGGCCTAACAGATGGTCCAGAATAAAGTCTGCCTTCCATTTTTAACAACCATCATTGAATGTTTTTTTTCTTGAGTCCACCATTACAGTGGCTTCTGCTCCTTGGAGCTAACTGCTTCTTGGGTGTAGTCATTGAAATGCAGATTATCAAAGTTACCCTTCATGGAAACCCCACCCAGCTGGTCCCCACCCCACAACTTGGGAGCATTTAGCAGCATCCTCAGGCTGCCCCTCCCTTCGCCTGCCCTGGCCTGCATCCCTCACCTCGGCTTCTGATTCAGCAAGCTCTTCTTCCAAAGCTATTCTTGCATCCCAGGGCCACAGAGTTGATGACAACAGCTGCCACAGACTTCTGTTTAGTGCCTGACATTGGATGGGGGTCTCATACATGAGACTCTGCCAGACCCCATAGCTGAGAGACAGATGAAGGGGCTCATCTGCCAGTCTCCTCAACTCAGAGGGCCTGAGGGAGCCATAATGAAGAGAGAAAAACTGGCCTGGGGAGCAAGGGGGTGCTATTCTCGTCCTGGCCTCTAGCTAGCTGTGAGACATCCTTTCCTCTCTGGATCTTAGTGCCCTCTGCTGTAAGAGATGGCTTAAATGGGATGCTTTAAAAGGTCTTTCCTACTCCACTGTCTCTGAAAGCCTTCTGAGCTGCTGCCCAGGGGTCACCTCTCTCAGGAGAGAAAAGAGGAAACAGTGGAGATCTTTGTTCCAGCTTTTCATTCCACTTACTAGGTCTTCATGATGCCAAATGATGAAGTATGCCCAGAGCTGGTTACGGTTCTAGAAGCTGGAGGGAAAAATGTGACTCTGGGGCTGAAGAACTCAGACTCCAAGATCTGCCAGCTCTGGCTCCAGCCTTGGGCCAGAGATACGAGCTGTGCCTTCTCCTGAATGCTGCGCAACATTTAAAATGGCAGATACCTTGGACTTCTTCCCTGGAGCCTCAAGGTGGGACAATTTTGAAATGTTATCTCAGGCCCACAGCTCCCTATGGGATCAGCAGAGGCCTCCTTTGCAACTTCATTGCACTCTACATTCTCCTCTGCTCAGTCATGCTTCTGTCTAAGGTGTTGATCCTAAAAGGTCTAGGGATCTCCCCAGTAACTTCCTGCATATAAGTATCTGTCTCAGAGTCTCTTTCTCAGGGAGCTAGGTCTATAGGAACATCACCCATGGCCTACAGGGTTCTTCAGATCAAGCCCTTGCCAATCTCTCTAGTCTTATTTCTCTCCAGTGCCCCCTTGCTGCTACTCTTCAGCCTTATTGAACTCTCAGTTCCCCAAACACCAGGTTCCCTCTTGCTCTGCTCAAATTTGTACATGTTTTCACATAATTTGTTGAACAAATACCCATTAGGCTGCTGTATCAATCATGGTTCTGTCCAGACAGAGATGGCGTGCTCGAAAGGGGGAACTGAAGAAAGTTTAATGAGGGGCTATTTAAAAGCTGTAAGCAAGGTTATGGGAAACCAACTAAGCATCCTAGGACCGGGAGCAGTGGGAAGCTCCTTGGCTTGATGGAGTAAAGAGTGGTGAGTGGAATCTGTGCCACGAGCGCTGTGGCTGGAGGAGAGAAGCCACAGACAGGAATTGCGACCTTTAGGGAGAAGGCAGCTATTGCCAACCCTGCCCAGCTGGAAGTGAGCTACTGTAAAAATGTCCCCAATCCTCCCGCCACCGTCCAGACTTCCTCTAGCGCAGCTGAACCCAACTGGAAGCCCCAGAGCAAAAGATGTAGTCCACAGAGGCCAGCATGCTAGGGCATGGAGCTAGGCAGAGCGATGAACGTGGGTTTGGAGGGGCAAAGAGGAAGCATTCAGCATAATCCTTACTGTGTGCCAGACACTGAACAAAATAGAATCGCACCTGCCCTCGTATCGTTTACAGTCTCACAAAGAAAACTGGATTTTCATCAGTGAATCATAAAAAGTAATGAAAATACCCATTATTTTCATGTACACATAGAACATAAAAATTCACCACGAGCTGGTCCCTGAAGCGAGTTTCAACAGATTTTTTTAAAACTGGCATCATATAGACAGACCATGTTCTCTGCCCACAATGTAATTGTTATAAATCATTAACCAAAACAAAGGAATTTATCCTCACACTTGGAAATTTAAAAACACATCTGTGTAAAACTCAGGGCAAAGAAGACACACACTAGCTATTAGGAAACCCTTAAAACTGAACAATAACAAAAATGTTACATATTAAAATTTATGGGATGCAGCAGTAGTTGTATTTAAAGGGAATTTTTGAACTTGAATGTTGATGTTAGAAAAGAAGAAATGTTGAAAATTCATGAGCTAAGCATCCAATTTAAGAAGATAGGGAGGGAGGGTGACTGGTTAGCTCAGTTGGTTAGAGCGTGGTGCTGATAACGCCAAAGTTGCCGGTTCGATCCCCGCGTGGGCCACTGTGAGCTGCGCCCTCCCTAAAAGAGTCAACTATGCCACTTTAGCATGAAAGCAATGTGTAACCAATGACCATGGCTGTTCCCCAATAAAATTTTTTTAAATAATAATAAAAGAAGAAGATGGGGGGAAAACAATGTACAATGGAATAGCCCTAAAAAAGGAGAAGAAAGAAGATAACTAAGACAAGTGCAGAAATTAATGAAATGGAAAACAGGGTACAATCAACGAAACAACCAAACCAAAAGTTGGTTCCTTGAGAAAAAAGAGAATGGCTGAATTGCAGTACGTTCACACATTAGAATAATACACTGCAGTGAAAAGAAATGTACCACAGTGATGACAAATTAGCTTGGGTAAAAGTCAGACTCATAATGAGTAAAAAGTTACAGACACTAAATACAGGTAACGCCATTTTTGTAAAGCTCAAGAACATGCAAAACCAAGTTATATATTGTTTAGGGTACATGTATATTTGGAAAAACTTTTTTTTAAAGCATGAGAACGATAAGCACATTAGTAACCTGTGGGTGGATAAGAGGCAAAGGGTTGGCATCTGGAAAGAGGACACAGGGGCTTCAAAACTATGGTAGTGTGTGTGTGTGTATATGTATATATATATATATATACATAATTTACAAGGATGTTGCATATGCTTTTTGCAGGTATCAAGTAGTAAGTAATAACTTTTAAAAACTGTAAGCAAATCCTGCTTAGTAAAATGTCTCAGTTGAACTCTGTATTGTTTCTCCACATTCCCAGCTTGGAACCTAGAGCGGCTCCCCTTATTTTCAGAGCCTGTGGCTTCATGTTGAACCTGTCATTTCTCCATCCATTTGCCTTTTCAACATCCAGGGTTCCACACATAGAAAGGCTGTGATTTAACATATTCTTAAACATTGAGTATCTTTATGATTCGTTTCATTGGGAAGCCATGTTGAGAAAACAAAGAGAAAAGAAAGGAAATAGAAGCCAGGGG